TGGCTGTCAGCAAGAGGGAGGGGTTTGTGGGTTTATCACAGTCGTACTGGGAGGGAAAGACATTTATGATACAGATGGCAAATGGAATGTCCCAAATATACAAAGAGCTTCTACAAATCACTAAGGAAAGTGGACAGGGACAAACTGAAGGGGGAGGTTTTTCGAAATACACACACCTTTCCACACCAAATCAAGAATCTTTCTCAAGAAATCACGGAACAAGAGAAAAAGGCCAGAAAACCTTTTCCTGGCAAAATCACAAGGAGATGAGAGGATGACAGTACAAGTAAACCCAAGCTCCCCACCTCCCTGCTGCTTCTGATGTGGGTGTTGAACACCGTGCTGGGTGAACATGGGCATGGTGGTTAAGCCATGGAGAGGACAGGCTTCGGGGTCAAACAGATCTGGCTTTCAGTTTGGGCTCCACTGCTTCCCAGCTGTGTGCAAGTTCCTTGACCTCCCCAGGCCTTTGTTTTCTGAACTGCACAATAGAAACCCCAGCACTCCCCCCAGGAGAACTCTCATGAGGGGTCTGTAGCTACTGCGAGTGGAGGGTCTAGCACAGTTGCTTGCACGGTAATGACTTCCCACAAGTACGAATCATCCAAGCTAACCTGTGCTGCGAGGCCACCATGCTGGATGTGAGAACCTTCACAGGGAGTGCTGAGGTTAAGTTCTGTTAGTGAAACCTTCAAGAGGGACCCAGCAGTCTGGCTGTGGTCCTATTTTACTGAATAGGTGTCCATGGTCTTGAATCCCAGGGAACTCCATTTTTGAGATCAGGGTTGTATTTGGAAATATTTGAAAAAACCCAACAGAGAACACTTACGAGATACCCTAGGAAGGAAGCTCCAGAAGAAGAGGGGCTTTGTCTTGTTCATGGCTGTATTCCTACCGCTAAGTACAGAGTATGTCCCCAAAGAGACTGGGCAGGGACACTTAGGAATGTGATTCTGGTGAAGAACCAGGACGTGGCAGAATCAGGGCTCACCGCTGATTACCAAGGTCCCCAAATTCCTCCTCTAGAGATGGGGAAGCAGGGACTCCTTGCTCCTGTTACAGCACCCCCCAACTGTCCTCTACTGTCCCCAAGAGCAGCCTCAATCCTCTCCCCATCCGAGGCAAACAAGATGTGCCCCAGAGCCCTGACAACATTTGGCACTTCAGCAAATTGAGTTTCCACAGCCGCCACCTGAACAGAGCTGTTTAATGGACTGCATCTCCTCCTGCTCCCTTTAAATGCACACATACACAAAAACCAATTTCAAGCAAAGAAAGCTGGATGGGATTAAACAACTCCATTTAAAGGACTGAAAACTCAGCTGCTTCCACTGAAGTCCTAGGAAAGGAACCAATCAGCAAAGTTCTTCTCTTGCTTTTTGTGTGGAAATGAGGGCCGTGACTACAGTGAGTCACTCCTAGCTCGCAGGCAGAACTGGGCCATGTCCACCTGGGCTTTGCACTGCAGCGGGTGGTACGTAGAGAGAGAGGGTGTGCGTGTGTGTATGTGGGGTGGGCAGGCAGGAGGGGCCGAGGGCACACTCTCAGACCATCTGTCCTGGATTTTTCTGGCAATGCTAAGAGCCTCAGATGACCCAGAGGCTGATACCTGGCTGTCTGCTTCTCTCTGCAGCCCAGGTTTAGGAAAGCAAATTCAGGCTGCTGTATAGATGCCCGGGTCCCCACCCAGGCCTGGCACCAGCCCGGGGAAGACTGAGCTGCCTCCCTCTACAGGGAGCGGTGGTGAGTGATGTTTCATGCCCCTTTTTCCCTGCCCCCAGCCCTTGTCCACTAGGCAGTGTGGGCAACCTACTCCTCAGTGACACCCAACTCTGCCCTTTGCCCATAGCTGCCCTAGAGCCCAGACAGGGAAGGAGAGATGAGCCAAGGCTCAGATGGTTAGCATTGGACATACATGGAGGGATGGGGGGATGCTGCTCTTGCAAAGGGCCACACCCAGCTGCAAATCCTGCCCCTTGCTGGGAGGCAGGGCAGCCCTGGAAAAGAACCACCCTGCCCTGACTCCATGCACCAGAATGCTGAAGTGCACAGCCAGAGAACCTCCCCCAGATGACAGGTGAACTGGGCCCTGCACACGCAGGCCAGCCTCTGCACCCCGGTCCCCTCATAGGGGCCAACCCTGCTGCCCAGCACATGGCACAGCCTCTCCCTTTTGCACCAGCAGCTCTTGGTGACCCCAACAAAGCAAAACTTAAGGGTCCAATTTCAAATTAGAGGTCAAAATGGAGTCCCGCTGAAATGAATAATATGAGGAACGCTCACTGGGTGCTCAGCATGTTACACGGATCACTTCATTCTTGTACCCTCTCTACTGCTGCTGTTCTGCAGGGAAGGGTGGTGGTAGGGACTTACCTCGTCGGATTCATCCGATAGTGTCTGAAGTAGGATGGGGAAGAGGCTGTCTGTGTGCCGGAACATCTGCAGAGAAGCAGGACACCCATGAGCTCTCCCCTTGCCCCAGCGCTGGGCTCTGTGCAGGGTCCCACTGCTCTGCCGGATCACCTCCCTCCCTGCCACGACACCAAGGGCTCCTCATGGCATCTGTCACTCCTCTGCTTGCCAGGGTCTCTCCAGAACTGCAATGACCTAAAGCTTACCAAGCATGGGCAGTCCCTCAAAAACCAAGGCAGACCTGGAGGAAGCCCCCTGGCTTGGAGGGGTCTACTGGGGGATGGGCCTGGGGGCTCACCTTCCGGGGAGTCTTGATGTAGAGGTGGTAAAGCCACTTCAGAACTGCAATCCTGGTCATCATCCCGATGGCCATGTCACTGAGGTGGCAGTTCAGGACCTGCACTATCCCATCGAGGTGAAGGGTCACTGGAGCCCTTTCAGTGCTGTGGGCAAGACCAGGAGGGAGAGCTGTGCTCAAACCAGCCATAACCACCTTGTACAGACTCAGCACCACCCGGGCCCACACACGCTGAATCACACACTTCTACCCACTGCCCTGGGGGCTCGGCGGGCAGGCCTGAGCAGATGGCACACACCCTGGGTGTCTCAGGGATGCGTCTCCCAATGCACAGCCCAGCTGGGGGTTCGAGGAAAGCCTGTTCTCTTCCTCCCTCTTCACAGGAGTTCGGAGCATGCTGCTTGGAGCTATGCTAACTGCACTGGGAGGACTCCCAGTCTGCTGGGCTCCGACTCCCTCCCCCTTTTCTTTCCCCAGCACCAGTCTGGCCCATGTAGGAAGAGAAAACCTCACCAACGTTATTGAGCTGGCACCCAGCAGCTCGATGGGCCCCATTAAATGTGGGTCCTTTGTTGATAAGATGAAACCACTACGTCCCGGTCCCTCCCCCTTTTCTTTCCCCAGCACCAGTCTGGCCCATGTAGGAAGAGAAAACCTCACCAACGTTATTGAGCTGGCACCCACCAGCTCGATGGGCCCCATTAAATGTGGGTCCTTTGTTGATAAGATGAAACCACTACGTCCCGTCCGGACAGTACAGGGGAACACCCTGCAACACCTCTTGATATCCAAGAGGCAGCCGAAGAATGTGCAGTGGTCATGGCTTGTCCCCGCACCATACTCCAGAGCATATGGGACCTGGCTGAGTAGCCAAGCCTTGATAGTAGCCTCTGAGACCAAGATGTGTTCTTTTGGGTCGGGAAAGAGGCAATAGAGCCTCTGCCTGTGAGAAACTGAGATTATACAGAACATGCCTTTGCTCCAGTCGGGCAGAGGAAGGAAGACTCCTGGCTTCCACGGACTAAAGCCTCGCTGGTCTCCAGTCAGGGAAAAGTGACGCTAAGCAGCCCGGAGGAGGAGGATGGGTGCTGCTGGGAGACTGAGTTAGCTCTCTGCCCAAAGCACTGCTCCCAGCAGATGCTGGGATTTTCAGGGGGTTGGTGGGGAGACACAGCAGGGACAGAACCTTAGGAGGTCAGAGAGGGGCTCCCTTCCTTCTGATGCACTGCACTGCATTTGCCAAAAGGCCACATGACAGGTGCGGGCCAGGGGCTGCATTTCCCAACGACTGGGGCAGGGTGGTTCAGTCGCCTGCCTCGACCAGACAATTTTTTGTGGCATTTCCAGGCTGCTGAATTATTCATTTGCATCAGGAACTCGATGGCTGTGCCTTCCTTGTTTGCCTGTAGCATCTCGGAGGCTCACTCGATGTGATTCCTAAAGAGTGCAATTCTGAGCTCTGTACTGGCTAAGCAGAATTGCTGTTTAATGTGGGCTGATGATCTCCATGGTGCCTGCTCCAGGGACAAGAGTGGGCATGTCTATCCTTTGGTGGCCAGAGGATCTGGGTGTGGGACAGTGATGGGGCCCATAACTGAGCCTCGGGGTGGTGCAGCCACTGCAACATCCCCAGGAGTCACATGACTGGAAGTTCCTGGTGTCTTCTGTGGATATCAAAATGTCTAAATCCTTTAGTGATAAGTCAGATGGGGAAATTAAAGCACAGACAGACGAGTCCAGGGTGTAAACTTGGGCTCTCGATCAGTCTCTTAATCAGCCTCACAGCTTGCTGGCCAACAGAAATAAAACGTGAGCCACAGATGTAATTTTACATTTTCTAGTTTTAAATTAAAAAGGAAAAAGAAACAGGCAAAGTTAATTTTAATATTTTAATTAACCCAATAGATCCAAAATATGATTTCAGCATAAAATCAGTATGAAGATTACTACCATGATATTTGATGTTCTTTGTGTCCTCGGCCTTTGGAGCCCAGTGTGCATCTGACACTCCCAGTGCAGCTCCGCTCACACCAGCCAAGCTTTAGGGGCTTGGCAGCCTTGTGGCCGCCATCTGACCACTTCCTAGATGCTCTTCTCCCTCCGCTGATGGCCAGCACTGACTGTCTTACTTCCAAGCTTACTTTTCCCATCCATGCTGGCTTCCTGTGTCTTCTTCCAATGTGTTCCCTTTAGCTGTTCTCCTGGGGCCTGTAGAATCCCCTGGTTAAAGACGCTTGTGTCTTGGTGGTAGAAGAGATGCCGCCCACAGCCCAAGGCCTTCTGCAAAGCAGGTAAATGAACGGAAGCCACCTCCCACCTGGCCTGTTCTTTCCCAACCCTGTGGGCCCCAAGGTCTGCCCTGAGTCCCTTTCCAGCAGGAGCTGCAGGGTGTTCGGGCTGTCACATGGGGCTCAGGTGTCCCGGGTACCCTGTGACTGGCAAATCACAACCACATGCTTATCTGAAATAGCCCCTTGGGAGGAAAGCCTTGTTTTTACTTGCCTCAGGGACTCAGGACTACACAGGCCTAGCAACGGCTTGCCCTGGAGCTGCTGGTGGGGAGAAAGGCAGTGCTATGGCCAGAACCCCCACCCCACCCGCAGGGCAGTCCCAGCAGTGCAGATGAACCTCAGGGGGCCACATGGCTCTGATAACGCGAGAGGGCCAAGGCACTAAGTGATATGAGCACTCCACGGAGGAGCACATTACCTGCACAGCCTCATGTGATCCTCTCAGAAACCCTGTTACTTATGTTATTTCCACTATGGAGATGAGCTAATTGAAGCACAGAGACATGAAGGGACCTGCCCAAGGTCATACAGCCAGGCAGTGGTGCAGCCTGTGATGTGAATCTGAGCAGTCTGACTCTAGAATGGTCTCTCCCACCACACAGCCCTGCCTGCTAATGGTCAGCAGCTCGGGGGAGTGCACGGTGGCGTCACTTTCCACAGTCTCCCGTGGGGGTAGCAGAAGGGCAGCCCCTGTGTGGACTGCCCCTCTGGCCAGGGCAGCCCTGGCAGCCCAGCTGGTGGCAGAAGGAGGGTATCATGCACATTCTTCAGTGTATTTTCCTGTTGGAAGGGTAGACAAAGTCTCCACGTGGGGAGGAAGAGGACACTGGGGAAGCCCGAGGCTGACCTGTGTGGGGCACACTCCAAACCCAAGCAGCCTAAATAGGGCACCAAGACGTGGGGCTGGACAGTCCCTCTGCAAGCCGAGCTCCTTAACTCATAGCAGTCCTGAGATGCTTCTGCCAGCCTGTGGCGTCATCTTTCAGGTGGTGTCATGTCACGGCCAAATAACAAAAGCAGGATTTCTTGGAGCTGCTGTGTGAACCAGCAGCGTTTTGTACATTGACATCCTATGACTTTCCCCACAGCAAATGCCATGAGAGCAAACCTCCCCAGCTGTGGGCTTTTTCAGACTGCTGGGGAAGCGGCTGTTAGCCTTGACCAACCAAGAACTTCGTAACTGTTCATGTAGCCCATCCTTTAATGCAGATGAGCAAACCCAGGTCCAGACAGCGTGGTCCTGTCCCCGGCCATGAGGCCATGCATCAGAACTCAGTCCTTCGGCTGGACACACCCTCCCCGGGTCTGTGTACTTTGCTGGCACCAGGGAGACTGATCTTAGTGCCTGGAAAAGGAAGGATCATGGTCCCACCAGCCCTTTACCAGGTGGCTTTCAGTGGTTCTGCTGGATGGGGCTTGTGGCGGCGGCGCGGAGCTCTGCGCATGCTCAGCGGGGGGGCTGGCGCTCTGGGTTCCTTCGAGGGGGGCACGCTGTATGATGTGCTTAGCTCCCAGCTGCTGGTCTGGAGCCTCCGATGTGGCACCCTCTGCCTTGGTTTCCCTCACCTCCAGTTTAAAATACATTTCTGTATTGGTTCCAAAAAGTCTAGACGAGTCACTTGGGGGGCTTCTGAGTTATTTCAATGTGTCTGCAAAACTCCATTTTCGCCAAGCACGTTCTCATAAAGCATCTTACAACGAATGTCTTGGATGTACATGTACTACAATGTCCAAATGCATGGCGCTGCTGTGGCTATTAGAATACATGTGTCTGCAAAACTCCATTTTCGCCAAGCACGTTCTCATAAAGCATCTTACAACGAATATCTTGGATGTACATGTACTACAATGTCCAAATGCATGGCGCTGCTGTGGCTATTAGAATACAGATTTACTGAATAATGCTTCTGATACTACCAATAAATAATAAGCTCCAGTCGTTCCCTCTGGGAGACAGCACTTTATTTCTGTAATGTCTAACTTTTTGTGGTACTCATGTCACTTCTCTAATCAAATTGGAAGTAGAGTTTTTCCTGAATTTGAAGTTGCTTTTTTAAAATATAATATCATCATACATTTTTTTAATCAGCAGATGCTAAAAGTTGGGAAGCACTGATTTCTAGATCTTTCTGCTTGCTTACGTACAGGGTGGCCAACTACACCAGAAGAAATGTACTGAATGTCACTGAAGACACCATGACTCTTGGCAAGGCTTGGGGCGTCCGAGTGGAACAGTTCATATAGCAACATTCACCAACAGTGAGCTGACAGCATTTTCTAACATTCTCCAACTTTTGAGAACCGGTGTCAGACGATTCAGGGAGGCCAATGTGCAAAACTTCAGAAACTCTCCAACTGCGACTAATAAAGTTAAATGCACAGGCTCGGGAATTAGGCCTAGCTTGAACTCCAACTTGGTCACCAATTAGCTGAATGACTTTGGGTAAGAAGTTAGCCTCTCTGGGTCTGTTTCCTCATTTGTAAAATGGAGATAATAACCAGGTTCTTGTAATAATAACAATTGTAGCTAAAGTGTAGGGAGTGCTTTGTGTGTGCCAGACACTGTCCTATGCTCTTTATGTACTTTCATTCAAGTCCCATTCTCCTATGAGGTCGGTGCCATCATTACACCCAGTTTACAGATGAGCAAGCTGAGGCAGGGAGAATCTAAGGCCACTGCAGGCATGGTAGAAGCAGGATGTGAACCCAGGGAGTTGGATCCCAAACTCAAAGTGTGCAGAGAGATAAGGGACGTGCCCAGCGTACAGACACGTGGTGTTGGAGATTCCTCTCTCTCAACCCTCTCCTTGGCTGCGGGCAGGCAGCTGCCTCCATCCTGGTTTCTTCTCTTTCCGCCCTTCCCTGGGGAATCCAGTTTTTAACTTCCCATGTATCTCCTGTGTTCTGAAGAACAAGGGATCCCAGACTCTTCTACCTGGAGCTCCACCTCAGCTGTCAACCCAGACCTAAGGTGACTTTGTCACCCTGCTTTTCCAGGTGGCTCTCCCCTGTGGCTAAGCCTGGGGCCAAGTGGGGCTTTCCCAGCATTCTGGGAAAAGAAGGGAGATGAGGAAGGGAGAGGAGGCTTATGCTCTTGAGTTTAGTCAGTTCATTCTCCCTGTGTTTAAGTGGAGAATCTACTTTTTAAAATTCTGGGGTATAAAAATTGCCTCCCAGGAGATCCCTAAAACCCTGAACGTGGATTCAGAATTTTGTGTGGATGTGCCTTTTTCCGGGAAGGAGGTCCACGGCTTTCATCAGGTTGTCCTGGGGTCAATGACCACTAGGAGGCTCAGGACCACCACCACAGGTGGCAGTTTTCTGCCTTTCTACCAATGGTGGAGTCCCCAGTCTGGCCATTGCCCATGATTGGCCTGAACTGAGGGAAACTGGTGACTGTGGGTGGTGCCCCAGGCAAGCAATGCACCTGGGAACTTGCAGGGTTGGTTTTGACTTCTGGTGACCTTGGAAGATGCCATCTTGTCAAGCTCAGTCTCTCTTTGGCAGCACCAACTGGAGGAAGCAGGCGTGGGGCCTAGGCCCAGGTACCCTGGCTCTGGTCTCCCAACTATAAACGCTGTCCGCTCTCCAGCATAGCTAGTGACTTAGGCTGTGCAGCTGCCCCCATGAAACCTCCATTCCCCAAGAGTCAGGAAGCACCAGGTAATCTGTTCTTGTTTGGTTTTTTATTTTAAAAGGGTAGGATTCAGCATTGGCTCCTGAAGGACAGGTATAAACCCAAACCCTGGTTCCAGTTAAGTGGTTCCTGGCCGTAGCACAGGAACTGAGGCCTCCTGTAGGCCACCCCAGCACATGGTAGTGCAGTCTCCAAGGCGAGGCAGGGAGAGTTGTGCCCATCCCCCCAGTCTATCAGCCATGCCCCCTCTCTGCCTCCTCCTAGATCTCCCCCCATCTCCACTGCCAGTCCCTTGGAGCTGACAATCTCTGTCACCGAGGTTATAGTGACTTGTCTACAACGGGCTTTTTGGCTGCCAGAGGGAGGCTTCTAAATCCCAGATCTGATCCTGCCATTCCCACTTATAACTCTGACTCCCACTGCCTCTGGGACAAAATCCGAATCCTTTGCAGGACACAGCAGTCTCTTGTATCTCCATCCAGACCTTTCCTGAGTTCCAGAATCCAGTACCCAAACCTGCCTTCTTTCCCTCTCCTGGGGATGCTCAGAGCCACCCGGAACCGAGCTCTCAACTGCCCGACCCACACCTGCTCTTCCTTCCAGCCCTAGCTTGGAAACGAGACCAGGATAGCCCCTCAGTTTGGCTCAAGCAACATCTAGAAGTTGTTCTTTCCCTCACCTCTCTCCTGTCTCTTCGAGCCCAGCCACCAGCAAATCCTGTCAATTCTACCTTTGAAACAGATCTCAAGTCCATCCAGCGTCTACCTCTGCCGCTGCCTCCTCAGTCTCAGCCTCCACCCCTTCTTACCGGGACGGCTGTGGTGGCTCCCTAGCTGGTCTGTGCCCACCCGCCCCCCACAATCCTCTCTCTACCCAGCAGCTCCCTGTTCTCCCATCCCTCCTCATCCCTAAATTGGGGATAATGCTACTGACTCCACGGGATTTAAACATAAGCAAACTCTAGATGCCTCAACACAAAGGACTGAGCACAAGACTGGCTTAGGAAATACTTGCTGAGTGGTCACCAGCATTAGCCACTATTCTCAGCAAGCCTCAGCTTGGGTACCATGACTTGTCCCCCAACATCCTCTGTAGGGCGATCACCCCCCTTCCTGCAAACTTCCCCCTCACAGCAATCACCCACTTTTTGGTAACTTCCCGGCTACTCCCCTGCTTCCCCGCTAGAGGACCTTGAGGTCAGGGACACATTCAGGGACTCTCTTTATCTTGGAACCTGTAGGATGAACACAGGCAGATGCTCTGGAAATGAAACCAATTGAAAATGAGTGAATGACCTGCTCGACCAATGTGGGTGTGGTCCTAGAGGTATGTATTTATGATCTGTGCTTGCATACTTGGAAAACATGCTCAGTGTCTTCAGAATTGAGAATAAATTCAAAAATGATATAAATGGAGGAAAGATCCTGAGGGTCTGGGGAGAAGAGAACCATGGGGCTGAACGCACATTTTCTCTTCACGAGTGACGGGCTCCCCTAGGGCCCAGGTTCAATGTCAAGTTCAGAGGGAAGAAACCCCCTACAGGAGAATAGGCACCCATTCCAGCCCCACAGATGCCAATGCTACCCAAAGAAAAAGTGACATGGGTAGCATCCAGGGGACTCAGACAGAACAGAAATGGGACATTCCCTCCCCAGGGAATCCCATCACTCAGCAGGGGGTATGCGGGGAGTTGGCAAAGAGGGGAATTACTTCTCTGCTTGGCCTGCACTGCCCCCAGGTGGAAGGCTGCGCTACTACAGCCAACCTGGGAGCATGGGAGAGGGTGGTTCCCATGCCCACAGTCCATCTGCGCTCTTGGACTCAGTTACTACCTGTGCTCCCGACTGTCCTTGAGCAGCCTTCCCCTTGTCATCCTCATCAGCCCCACATTATCTGGGACAAGCTAAAGGTGCAGGGCAAAGGCATCTGCAAGTGTCTCACTATGGTTACCATGTATTAGCTGTACTTTTACAACTTGCATTCACCAACCTCTAGCAGCTGCTAATCCCTCCCCAAATGGCTCAGTCCTTCAGAACTGGGTGGGGTAGGCTTGCCCGGTGTCCTTCAGATTTCCCCTTCGAGCACCTCCTGTGTGTACGAGGGTGCCCTGAGCAGAGTTTGCTTGGGGTCTTTGCTGCAGTCTCCTGCATGCATGGGGGATCTAGGTTGCTTGCTGTCCACAAACACCTCTGGCTGGAACAAATCACTTACCTGGGTGGGGTGAAGACACTGATGCTGCTACCAAAGCTGGAATCACAGGAACCATCGGGACCTCCTGGGAGAGGAAGAGGCACAAGGCGTCATGAATGGCTGCTGGGTTCTTCTAAGTAAGATCCCTGTTACAAGCACACAAGACTCTACTCTTCAGCCCCCCACACCTGGATTCAGGCTCCTGAAAAGGAGCATGGCTCTAGAGCCCCAGGGCCTAAAGCTTTTGGGATAGTACCCATGCTTGTAAGTTTTTAGGCACAGTGATCTCACAAGGAGGGGCCACCAGTGCTGAACACATCTGGGAATCTCAGAAGGGACTGCTGGCCTGAGGGCAATGGATGTTAAAAATGACTTTGAGATACTCAACATGCTTAGCCATCAGGGAAATGCAAATCAAAAACACGAGACACCACCTCACACCCACTAGGATGGCTAAAATAGACAATAAAAACAAGTGTTGGTGAGCACGTGGAGAAATTGGAACCCTCATGCACTGCTAGTGGGAATGGTGCAGACACTTTGGAAAACAGTCTGGCAATTCCTCAAAGGGCTAAACATAGAGTTACCACATGACCCAGCAATTCCACTCCTAGGTATATACCCGAGAAAAATGAAAACTTATGTTCACACAGAAACTTGTATATCATGTTCACAGCAGCATTATCCACAACAGCCACAAAGTGGAAACATCCCAAATGTCTCTCAACCAACGAATGCACAAATGAAATGTGGTACGGCCATACAATCTGGCAATACAAAGGAATGAATTACTGATACATGCTATCACATGGACGAGCTTTAAAAACATTGTTATGTGAAAGAAGCCAACACTAAAGACCACATGTTGTTTGATTCCATTTATATGAAATGTTCAGAATAGGCAAATCTATAGAGACAGAAAGTAGACCGGAGGTTGCTGAGGGCTGGAGGAAGTTGGGGAATAAGAGGTTCTTTTTAGGGTACTGAAAATGTTCTAAAATTGATTGTGGTGATGGGTACCCAACTCTGTACAAAATATACAAAAGTCAGTGATTTGAACACTTTAAGTTGGGTGAAGTGTATGGTATGTGAATTATATCAATAAAAGGGTTAAATCATGACTTTGGGGAAATAACTGTGACCTGCACTCTGCCCAAGTATTCCTCTCTGTGGTCAATTCAGTACCTGCCATTAGTATTTAACTTACTGCTGCATGACCCAGGATAGAAAAGGATCTCTCTGGCTGTTTTTCTCACTTAAGGAATAACCTTAAAATTCCAACCTTTTTCTTTTGGCATTTAATGAAGTTTTCCTAAAGAGCCAAGACATTCTGCATTTGGAGGATTGCCAGTAGGATCCAATTCTAACTTCAGCTCTGGTCCAGGCATTGGCCCCAGCTCAACTGTGACCTGCATTCTGCCCAGGTATTCCTCTCTGTGGCCAATTCAGTACCTGCCATTAGTATTTAACTTACTGCTGCATGACCCAGGATAGAAAAGGATCTCTCTGGCTTTTTCCCACTTAAGGAATAACCTTAAAATTCCAACCTTTTTCTTTTGGCATTTAATGAAGTTTTCCTAAAGAGCCAAGACATTCTGCATCTGGAGGATTGCCAGTAGGATCCAATTCTAACTTCAGCTCTGGTCCAGGCATTGGCCCCAGCTCTTATGGCATCAGGGAGGGAAAATGGTGGCAGCACTGGAGTGCTGAGGGTGGGTGATGCACTGGAAAAAATCCCAGACTTCTGGTATTGACTGTGTAATTTAGAGCTTGTCATGTAACCCCCTTTGCTCTCAATTTTCTCATCTATACAATGAGACAGATACTATTTACATGGCCTAATCCAGATTTTATATATATTTTCCTAAATTTAAAAAATGCTTTAATTTTGAAATAATTTTAGATGTACAGAAAAGCTGCAGAGAGTACCGAATTCTCTGTATACCCTTCACCCAGCTGCCCCTAGTGTTAACACTGTACATTCCCATAGTTCAGTGATCAAACTAGGAAAGTAACACTGGTACAATGCCATTAACTAAACTACAGACCGAACTGG